ATCACATTGTACCTCATGAATATGTCCAATATTATATGTCTATTAGAAACAAAGTGAAACTTAAGCTGGGTGCAGTAGTGCATGCCTGTAATCCCAGCTACTTGGCAGGCTCAGGTGCGAGGACTGCTCCAGCCCAGGAGTTTGAGACTAGCCTGGGCAACATGGCGAAACCCCACCTCAAAATGACAACACACACACCCACACACAAAAACTTTAAAAACGTAATGATCTGTTTCTATGATAGGAGAGAAAAGGAGAGTCATGGGATTTCTTTGGGTTCAGACTACATTTTCAGAACGCTAGTTCCAGTCCACTTCTACATTACACAGATGCTAAAATCTGTTTCAGCATCAAACCTTCACATGACAGCCAGATTAAATCACACTTAAAAGAAGGAATAGAAACCTAGGTGATGAAAAGTAACTATCCCCCCACAATTGCATTGCATATTCAGTAGATTGTTCCCTAAGGGCTAAAAAAAACTTGAACAGAAATCATATTATTTATCCAGCACTTGATTTCTGGTTCAAGTGAGGCAAATAGCAGCAAGCGAGTCATAGAGTGGATCTTTCCCAGTACCTCACAGTCCATGGTCTTCAATATTCATCAGTGTTGCTGGTGGAATATTTGGAGAGTGGAAGCTAACTCTATGTTAGGTGGATGGAAGATCTGTCCCTTTAAGAGATAAATGTGTTATAATCCAAATATATTCAACTGTAGAGTTAAATAGCCGTAGTTTGACCATATAAAATATTCAAGTTTCAGATGTCATTTTTAGTCCAACACTTTGGTAAACTGTTGGTACTGAAAACAATTGCTTAATACATGGCTGCACTGGCTGGGAGTGGGGGAGAGAAGATCAGCAGGACGCTCAAGTTCCAGTGAATGGTTCTTGGTTATAGAGCACAAGCTTGCACTCATACAAACTCTGTTAAAACTCTGTTAAAGCCAAATAAGCAAATTACCTGCTTTCTGCTTCTCTGCAGTGTGCCTTCTGTGTAATAGGGCACTAAATAAACACGCTTGAATGGAACTGAAATCTCTGAGAAAAAAACTGGTAATTCTGTTCTTCAGGAATCTAAGAATACTAGATTTATAACAAGACAGAATAAATCCCAGGTTCCCCTGCAGGTGTGAGGACAAACTTTCCCAGATTCTTGACACAGAAGATTCTGTGGGAGACACCTAACCTATAAGCCCTGGTTTGCTAGACCCTTTGGAGCTGAGCTTCCCAAGAGATGTGATCCTAGGGACAGTCCACTGGATGTTTCCCATGGTCTGCAGGCAGCAACTTCAGAGTGTGGGGAGGGGAATGGGGAGAAGCCATGGGATGCAGAAAGAAAAATAAAGACAACATCTCATAATGCATTAAATGAAGCTGACATGATAAATTCAATGTAGGACAAAGCATTTTACATAAATGGGATGCTTGCCTCAAGTCCATAGCTATCATCTTCAGTATTTTCTCAGAATGATTCCTTCCCTTATTCATCCTTTACTAAATGCCACGTACCACTCAAGGGGCAGAGCTACTAAGAGGATGATGAAGACTGAGAAGGAAGGTCCTGAGTCTCTAGAATACACAGTTGAAAGTGGGAGGGAGGGAGGGAGAGAGGGAGAAAGAGAGAGAGGATGATTGAGAGCGCCAGTGAGCATGTGGTCAGGGAAGACAAAAACACAGGAGGACCATAAAACATGAGGGTAACATTGTGATAAAGGATCTGAAGAGGAAAAAGTGATACGTGAGAGAGAACACAGGTAAAGAAAACAGCAAGAGCAGAGACTTTGAGACAGAAAAAGGTTTGACTTGTAATGAAGAAGAGAAAGGAGTCCAGTGTGTCTGAAGGGTAGTGATATAGACTCAAGGAAGAAAAGTACGAGAAATCAATTATTATTACTTATTACCACCATGCACATTATTTAGTATGGGGCAAACCCTGTTGTAAGCAGTTCATCAATATTAACTCATTTAGATCCTCACAGCATCCCTATGATATTACTCCCATTTTGCAGATGAAGAAACTTAGTACCAGAAAGGTGAAGTGACCTGCCCAAGGTCACACAGTGAACACAGAGCACAGCCAGATCCCCACCCCCTCAAGCAGTCTGGCTCGTTTGTGCTCTCAGCCTTTTGCTCTATTATCTCTCAATGAGGTTGAAAAGCATGCTTGACCACACCTGACATCTTCTGAATCATTTCTACCTCCCCAGACCCTCTCCTGAGTACAAAATACATTAACAGGAAGAGAGAGCAAATAATTAACTTCAATTCTGCCACTGATTAAAGCCCGAGATGTTTCTAATTAGAAAGAGAAAAAAAAAAAAAATGCTTTGGGAAAGGTATAAACAAGGAACATTTTCTTTTTAATGAGTGTCAGCACCGCAGTATGACAAAAGAAGTAGAGATTACGGGAAGGAAAAAACTTCCTCCAATCTTTCAGGCATATAGGTTTGCAAGAGCAAAGTAACACAGAAACTGGCACTTCATTTATATATCATGATTCCCATATAGCTGTCCCTTAACTGGCATTACACAGGAACCAAGAGTCATTGAGAAACTAAGCTATGACTTCCAGAAGGAAAAAAACATCTCGAATGAGTCACATTGACACCACTTGGTAATTTTCTATGACAAGAAACGCAGGCAGACTGTAGTTAATTTGTAGCAGCTGCTGAACGCCTGTTACGGTACCAACCACTCCAAAGGAAGGAACCACCTAGGCTGCTGGCTTTTGCCTGAAACAGGGGTTCGACCTTTTCAGGCCTGTCTACACTTAGAATGAAGCTGTGGTACAACTGCTCACATTGCTTGCTTATTTATTTATTTATAAAATAAAATTTCACTTATTTTTAAAGGGTGGAATAAGACAACTAAATCTTAGAACGCAAGTTCCAGTTAATGAACAGATCAATGCTAGAAAGAAGTCAGAGGGTAACAGCAAGATCTATGATTCTAAAGAATAAAATCCTTACAGGCATTTGCAAATGCATTTGAAAGATAGTACAATTTTCCTGTTGCCTAATTAGTGTTTCTCCTCAGAGACAGGTAGGTAGGTAAGTACTGTAAGAGAGAGTGAGGGAAACTCAGGAATTTTATTTTACATAGCGATAATCTACCTGCTGCTAACTGCTAAATTCTTTTTATTCAGGAAGACGGTAAGCTTTCAGTAGCATTAATAAATTGAGTTGCAAAAACAGTAGCAGTATATTCTTCGAAACAAATATTGCTTTAAAATGCTAAATGGTTCGTGGTCAATTGTGGTCGGTAACGGTGTTCTAAATATAGATTCAGAAGATTTAAGTATAAACATAGGGCACAATATGTTTAACTACAGATAGATGTGCAGTAGGCACTAAATTGCTTTTGACAGATTGATTTGACATCCACCTCATTCCAGACTGCTCCAGGGGCTTTTCAGCTTTTCTCTGAATAGTGGGTACAGCTCCCTTCTTTCCTGTAGGTTCCTTCTCAGGGCTAACCTCCAAGCGAGGAGGTAGGTTCTCTTTCAGGATTGTGTCTTTTCAGAACTCTAAGCCAACAGGAGGAAATCTAAATAAAGGGGAAGGCTGCCCTTCTCCAGTTTTGTTCCTTAATCTAAGGAGGCCCCTGTAGCGCAGTTTCTATGGTTGGCGACAGTCTCCCTGCCGATTTATATATAGTAACATTGGTTAAAAAAAAATCACTTGACAAAGTTTTCTATTTCCGTAACATTGTGTCAGGAGGGAAGCTTAACAGAAAGTCTTCCCAGGGATGAAAGTATTTGTTTCTATTTTATATGTTAGTTTTAACTCCTTAAATTCATCTCCTGGGAGAATAAACATTCTTGATCTGACTCAAGGTGCTCTCTGAATTCACTGAAATAAAATATAGCCTGTAACTCTGGCCAATAACCTTGGGTGCCACCCAGAACTGCAGGCTCCAGGTGATCTACAGATTTCCCAAGATAAGCCCTGGCTGCAGCTCCAACCGGCCAGCAATCTAAAATCTGCAGCAATTCCGCAGGACCACACCTAGGGCCACAGCACATATCTGCAAAGCCGGAAGCGCCTTCCCCTCCAGGACACCTCCTGTCCCCAGTGAAGGAATTAAAGTTCTAACCCCTGCCTCTCCTACCCATCCTAATCTCTGCTTTTCCTTTACCTCCTTTCCCACACTCACTTGCCCCCGACGCTACAATGTAGCTTATAAACTCGTGACTCTCAAGGAAAGTATCAGCAGAAGCCACAACTTAGGGGGAATGACTCACTAAGGAGTCTCCAGCGCCTTCCACCGCCCTGCAACTGCCCCACTACTGTAGCCCTGCGGCTCCGTGCTGCCAACCCAGATAAGGAGGGGCATTTTCTGAAATCCAAGGGAGAACCTGAAGAGTCCCCCGCCTGCCCAGAGGCGTCTCTTGCTCTAAGTCAGCGGTAGGAAATGACCCCCTTTCCAAAACAAATGGACAGACGATTCTAAGAGGCAGGAGGAAAACAAACACAATTCCCTCAGAGGCTCTCCCGACCGTCCCTAGCAACACATCCCCATCCGCAGCGGGTGCAGCGCTCACAGGCCACTTCTGAAACCCGTGTTACTGATCAGGCCTGCACAACCACTCCCCCTGCAGTGTCCCGCTCGCTTATCTTCTGCGCCGGAGCAGCAGAGGGCAAGATCGGGTGGTCTCCGGAAGGTAGAAAGAAGGGGCCCTCAGACTGCACAGCCCGGGGAGAGGAAAGGAAGGAATTGAAGGGTTGACCTTGAGAATTTTCCTGAGTTACAGATAAATAGGTCGGGCCTCGCTTAGAAGCTCCCAACCCACTCCACCAGGGAGAAGATGCAAGGCAAGAGGAGAGCAAAGGGGGTGGAAATTCAGATCGCTAATCTACTGATAAGGGTGGGGGGAGGTTAGAGACAGCGGGTCTCTAGTCAGCTCGGAGAGGCTGAAATGGGAGTGCCCTGCGCAAAGGCTGAAACACCGCCGGCGGCCCGGTGCTCGTGGCTGCCTGCAGGTGCTAGCACTCACCTGGATCACCTTCGAATGGCTGGTGCAGAACAAAACTGCGCAGCGCAGTGTGGGTGCGGCGCCCTCGCCTGGGGCGGCGCTAGATGGGGCCAGAAGCAGGTCCCGCCCCAGCCGGCCACCGCGCGGCCACGCCCCCAAGGCGGGGCTCCCAGCGCTGGCGCGCGCTCTCTAAGTTGTCGACTTCGGGCCACTGGGAGGTAGAGGTTGCATTTTCTTCCTGCTCATGGTGGCGTAGAGATTTACTCCTCCCATTCTCAAACACCTATATCTACTACCCCTAGTGCCTTCGTGGCCGTCTTCCTACACTGTCCCAGCCAGGTCATACCTCCCGGATTGGGTTTGCACAACAGTGGGACGTGAATAATTTATCCCCAGCAGAGCCACCGTAGCGGTTTTAGGCTCTCTGCGGTAAGGGCGAAGCACGGCCATGCATGGCGCATGCGTGAAAGTAGCCGCGCCCCAATTGGTGTGTCCCGGAGGCGCGTAGCTGGGGCGTGGGAGACGCTGGGTGTCCCAGGTTGCAACACTCCCGACGTGAATGGATGTAGCGCTGTTAGGGTCTTTTTGTTTAGGGCCTAACAGATATTGTTAGTTTTGCAGAGAGATGGCACCGAGCCCTGCCCGTGTGGTGGGCCGTACCCACGCCCCCTGCGCGCAGAGTAGCGTGCTCCCGGAGTTTTGTTTTTTTAAAGGGAGTCTCCCAATTGTCCGTGGAGTTTTTTTCTGCGGCACATGGAGTCTCTGCCTTCGCGACCCAGATCTTTGATGTGAACACGTGCCCCCGTTACGCCCTCGGGTCCAGCGTCCGGGGCGGGGCTCGAGGCCGGGGGAGGAAGGGTAGGGGTCTTGGTCTTGGGTGAGACCTGCAGATACAGTCGGGCTGAAGGAGTAGAACTTGCTTCTAAATGCCGGAAAAGCCGAAGGAACTGACTGCAGAAGGCACGGTTCCAGTTTCCGCGCGTCTTAAGTGCGCCCTCCGCGACCTCTCCTCTGGACATCCCTCATCCTTCCGAAGATTGCCACACCTGGGCCTCCCCTATCTCCTCTTTGGAGGATTCCTCACCTCCAAGAGTGTGCTTAGGAACCCACCTGAATGATTCCAAGTTTAGGTGTGGAAAGGCAGAAATCTAGATTTTTGAAGGCTCTAGGTTGGGTTGTCATATTTGCACATCTAGAAGTACTTTGAGAGCTCATTAAATCTTTACTGTTGCGGTTTCAGCAATTTCCAACCATTCTCATACTTTCTTCTTAAATACAAGAAGGGTTTCTGTCATGTTGGATGTAGAGAGGGTTTTGTTTTGCTTGAACATTGAAAGGAAGTAAGTTAGGGAGACAGTTTGGCGTTACTGAGGTAAGTTTCTCCACTTGCTGGCTGTTCTACGTAAGAAAAGTCATTCCGAGGTGGCGGAAGGGATGATTCAAAAACCAGGAGCAGGGATGCACCTTGCACCCTCATTTTACACCAGAGACTGCAATTTCAAAAAAAAAAAAAGAATTTGGCCTCTCCTTTGCCAGTTATCTCGGACCACAGACAAGTACTTAATCACTCAGGACCTTCTTTTAGAAATCTTATTACAAAAGCAGTATTCGTTTATATTAGAATTTTTTGAAATACAGAAAAGCCCACAAAAAAATTGCATATACACAATGGAATCATACTGTATATTCTGTTTTGTGGTCTGTTTACTTCGTAAAATGTAAACCATTTTTTTGCTTTTCATTTCTTTTCGTTTTTTTTTTTTTTTTTTTAAATACATAGGTCAGAATGTCACTTTATTGATTTGCCACTGGAAACCTAAATATGTTGTGGACTAGAAAGCTCCTGTCATCCACTCTGTATTTTTTTCATGTAGGACGCTTTTCATTTCTTGAATGGTTCATGCTGCAACATTATTTGGCAATCAGTGCATGTCTTTTCATAGCATGGATGCACCAATCCTCTCTTGTTGGAGTTAGCTTGCTTTCGCTTCTTTCCTATTGCAATGTACAACCTTGTAGATAAATATGTGTACGTGCTTATGACTTTTTTTTTTTCCCACTGAATTCCTTTGCAGAGGAATTTCTAGGTTTTGATCTCTGTCAACAAGATGCATTCCAGGAGTCTCCCACACTGAATATTGGATATCATTTTCCTCTATCTCACTAAATGGGAATAAGACCTTTCTCACAAAGTTATTGTGAAGTTAAAGTGAAATGAGGACAAAGTGCTACACAAAAGTCCTGCCCTTTTGTCTCAGGATAATATATTTTGCAAGTCCTATTGAGGCGGGAAATTAAAGAAAAAAATAAAATTAAAAAGAGAAATAAGCTTTCCTGCATTAGACTGACTTGTTCCAGAGGCAGCAACAGGCACAGCCCAGACCCAGGTAAAGTCTTAGTAATACTATCTAAGGAGCCAGGACACAAAGGAATGTGCTCTGGAAACTCTCCCAGCACTCCCTCCATGCAGGGAGAAGAAAAACAAATTTTCCTTTTTTTTATGATATGAGTTTATAAATTCCTGTTCTCTGTAACTGGTGACTTCAAGTCTTCTGTTTTATCTAATCAGTGGAGTGAAGTTCATAAACTGTCTGAGCAGATCTCCTGGATGCCATAGTGAAGGCCATGGAATAAGCTGTGCTAGGCACTAGGCAAACTTAGATAATGGACATCTGGGTTGCATAGCCATGGTCATGTGTGATCCTGAGTTATGAACCTGTTACAATTTGATTAACTGTCCTTGTCCTGCCTCTGTATCCCTGCTTTCACACCACTGTAAGCCTGCTTCAAGCTAGCCCACCCCTTTCTGAAGTGTGTATAAAAGTCAAGTGCTGTCTTTGTTCTGGGCCCAATCTTTGGATGTTAAGTCCGCTGGGTCTGAATGCATGTAGATATCCTCCTGTATACACCCCAAGGTCTCTCTCTGGTCCTTCTGATTCCGCAACACTATTACAACAATATAAGTTATGGATGTGTAACACTGGCTCAGAAATTACTCTGTACTTAATTTCACTCACCATTAATTCCTTTTCCATTTACAATCTGGCTTGTGCTTCCAAACGTCATCTCACACTGCTCTCTCAAAGGTCACCATTTGCCTTGTAAACGTTTTCTATCCTTGGATTCTCAGACATTACCATGTCCTGATTGTTTTCTTTCTTGCCTTCTTTGCTGGTCCTTTTTTGTCTCCCTGCCTCTTAAAATGTTTTCAAGGCTCTCCAGAGTTGTAGCCTCTATTTTTCCCCCTCATTCTTCTATGAGTCTTTTCTTTGACTCTCCCTTAATGATTTCCCCCATTTATGTGATTGTTTTGGTTGTCTAGAGTCTAAATGTCCTTCTGTATTTAGGAAAATCTCTTATTTTAAAATATGTTGTTTGAAAGTAGGTACCTACTGTAAAAAAAGTTAAAGGGCTAGTTCTCCCTCTCCCTCACTTCAGAGGAACTAAGGGGGTGGGCATGTGCCTTCAGCTTTGCCAGTCAGATGCTTGCTCCCAGGACTCACTCAGATTCTTGAGAGAATTAACAGCAACATGGGGACATTGGGAGATCTCCATTCATTATGGTGGCAGCAGTGGGAAGACCAGATCCCTCTCAGAGTCTTTTCTGATTACTCCATTAAAAATTACAGCCTCCCTCTTCTCAAGGTACTCTTTATTCCCCTTCCTTGTTTTATTTACTACCATTTTTGGTAATAAGTAAAATTTACTACTGTTTTGTATTTTTTATTTAATTTATTTGTTTTATTATCTGGCTTTCCTACTCAATAGTAAGTTACATGAAGATGGAGATATAGTGTTTATTACTGTATCCCTATTGCTCTTAAATGCCTGGCATACAGTAGACACTGTATTAGTCAGGGTTCTCTTAGAAGGACAGAACTAGGGGAGTTTATTAAGTATTAACTTACACCATCACAAGGTCCCACAATAGGCTATCTGCAAGCTGAGGAGCAAGGAGAGGAGAGCCAGTCTGAGTCCCAAAACTGAAGAACTTGGAGTCCAGTGTTCAAGGGCAGGAAGCATCCAGCACGGGAGAAAGATGTAGGCTGGGAGGCTAGGCCTGTCTCATCTCTTCACGTTTTTCTGCCTACTTCATATTCTCTGGCAGCTGATTAGATGGTGCCCACCTGATTAAGGGTAGGTCTGCCTTTCCCAGCCCACAGACTCAAATGTTAATCTCTTTTGGCAACACCCTCACAGGCACACTCAGGATCAATATTGCATCCTTCAATCCAGTCAAGTTGACACTCAGTATTAACCATCACAGACACTCAGTAGCTATTTGTGAAATGAATACATATGTGACTTGTTTCCGTTGCCTAGCCATCTGGAACTCTCTGACTTCTTGGCCTTTTTATGAAGTCTGTACCTCCAGCCTAACTGACTGTGTGAGCCCTGATAGCCTTCCAAGAATTATCCTATTCCGCAAGGTAGCCAGAGTCAGTTTCTGTTTCATGCAGAAACACCTACTGTATTACAGGATTCTCATACACAGCATGTCCAAAGCCACATTCATTACAATTCCAATAAAACCTTTACATATTTCAGTGAAGGAAATAATCTGAGTAATTACATTAGCTGGAAACTTAGCATCACTCCTTTTCCTTCATTCCTTGGACTTGGGAATGAGATAGCCCTGCAGTGGAATCCAGAAGAGCCACTTATTTAGCTGTGTGACTTTGGGGGAATTTAAGTTCTCTGCAACTTGTTTTGCCTTTTTATTTGCAAAATTGGTATATTAACACCAATCTTACTTGGCCATTGTGAAGATAGTACAGAGTTTGGGCCTACTATAGGCACTTAATAAATAGAGGTTTTAGTTATTACTAATTTGTGTTGATAGCACCTCAAAACAGTTTCTCTTCTAGTCCCTTTGCCCTAGTTCAGGCTGAAGTCTCCTCTGACCTGAGCAATTACCAAAACTTTTTTTTTTTGAGACAGGGTCTTGCTCTGTTGCCCAGGTTGGAGTGCAGTAATGTGATCATGGCTCACTGAAGCTTTGACCTCCCAGGCTGAAGTGATCATCCTGCATCAGCTTCCTGAGTAGCCGGGACTATAGTTGTGTGCCACCACATTTTGCTAGTTTTTTAAATTTTAATTTTTGTAGAGATTGGGTCTTACCCTGTTGGGCAGGCTGGTCTCTTAACTCCTGGGCTCAAGCAATCCACCTGCCTCAGCCTTCCAAAGTGCTGGGACGACAGACATGAGCCACCATGCCTGGCCACAGTAACCTTTTAACTGGCTCTCCCTTTAAAATTTATCACCAACCACCATTACAGTTATTTTTCTAGAGCAGATATCTTCTTTGATGACTGTGACCAATGCCTTTAGAATGAAGTCCAAACTTTCAAATAATGGCATTTCAAGATCCTTACTAGTCTAGCCTCAAACTACTTTTCCAGAATCCTCTCATTTAACATTAATTTAATAAACATTTTTTAAGTG